TAGTTCCGGGCAGTGAGGCATACAGGTTTTAAATTCAGGTTCACATTTAGATCTGAAATTGCCACCCTAACTTCAGATAGCAAAATTGGTATCAGGAGGGAAAAAGTTGGATCAGTGCATCCCTATTATGACCTGTTTATCTGACTCCCAGTTCCTGCCTTCTTGTGGGCCCACAGCTTGGTGTGTTTCCACAGCTGGTCACTGGAGGGAGATAAAGTGCAACCTTTATTTATATGTAAAATGAATCCTGGTCTACCTAGTAATGTGCTTTTCTGTTAAAGCATCCACTACTGACCACAACTGATAACTCTTCCTCCCTCATCATGTAACCACTGTGTTGCAAGAGTGGCAACCTACTGATAGAGAATATCTATTTTTTCTTAAAATGACATCTTCACATATCAATTGCACAATTTGTGCCGTGTTAAATGTAAATTGATTTATATTTGTACATGCATACTGGAGACAGCTTACGAGATCTGTATGCAAATATCTTGATGCTCCAGCTCTTCTCCATCTGTCTCTTGTTGCCTGTAGCATTTTAACTGTCATCATATTCCATCGCTTCTTCCTCCTCCTAATGCTCTAACAGCAGATTCTGTTTTACAGTATCAACTTGTAGTATCACCACCTCTGTATGCACAGCAGCACTCACTTACATAACATTCACACATTGACTGCTGCTCCTGCGTTGGGCTGCTGGTGTATCTCACTGATCTGCAGTCTGCTGACATGATTTATGCTTGAAGATGTACTGTACACAAGTCTTCAATTATTTACACACTGATACACATTCATACCCTTGATATGTTCCCATTCGGCTCTGCTCTCTGTACTTTGACGTCACCTTACCAGTAGTTCACACTGAAATGAATGACTTCCTGCTCTTTTACACACACACACACACACACACACACACACACACACACACACACACACACACACACACACACACACACACACACACACACACACACACACACTAACTAACTCTAGCCTGCAGCAGCAGAACGAGACAACTGATATTGATTACAGAACAGCGGAAAACCAGCATCATCACCATCATCTGTCTCCTTTCTCGGAAGAGAAGAAAGTGGTGCAGTTTTTATCCAGGATCTGTCTCCTCAGTTTACTGCAGCTGTCAGCTGAAGCAGCTCAGCTAAAATGGAGGCTGAATTTACTTCTCTCTGATCTGAGCCGTGGGGGAAACTGTCCGGGGTTGAATATTTTATTTGAAGTTTCCCTCTATTTAAAGATATCTTTCATTTGTGTTTTTGTTTTTTATCTTGCAGATTTATAGTTGTGACGTGCTGCTTATAACATCCCCTGTGGTTCTGTTAAATTGCATACGCAAGCACATATACGTAAGACTGACACTTCATTTCTTTCTTGCTCTCTCTAGAGCACATGCTGCCAAGGGTAAGGGATCATTTTTATGGTTACAAAATGGTCACCCATAATTCACTTTTACCGTGCATACAGACACAAACACAATGCTAGCTTTTCTACAACACATACTGCACAATTCATACTTGGGGGCGGGCATGGGGATTGTGTGTACCTGTCATCCAGTTACTAGATGCATGTGATGTATGATATGGTACATGCAATGTATATGATAATAGCTGCACCAGCGATGAAGGTTAGCCAACACTGATCAACATAACCTCTGCTATAAAGTCCTAGAAGTGACAAAAATTCTAATGTGATACCTAAATAAAAAGAAAAATATTGGGAAAAACATTTCAAAAATGTATTCTGATGTAATTTCTAATTACTTGTTAAGAAATGTAGTCTTTAACCTAATTCAAATATCACAATATTAAAGTAACGTAACTTGATTACTTTCCATTACTTCTGGATTACCTCAACACCAAAAATGCAAATAAAGACAATGAATATCAATAAGATGACTTTTATGTATTCTACAAGACAATAGAACAACGTAACCTTAGAAAAAAAAAGGGGGATACTGAAATTTTTAGCATCAAAAATGTGTCCTCTGCTCAGCTAAGAAAAACTTGCTTACTTTAAGCAAATTCAGGCAGTAGTCTACTTCGATGTTGTTCCCATTCTCTGCCTTAAAGACAAAATAATGGTCTTTTTTAACACTGATGCAATCTTTTCGAATGACTTAGTCTGTGCAGTATTGATCATTAATGTCAGACACACACATCTTTAATAGATGTATGGAAATATGGAAATATGGATATAGAATATGTTTAACTTATTGAGTGAACTTATTGTGTGCTAGCCTAGGACAGAGAAACAGTGCCACAATGTGTCCTTAGATTAGATATTAGCGACATTTATAACTTCTGTGGCTCAAACTGTACTTGTATAATAGCCTATATAATAATGTATATGTAATCCCTGCTGCTAACATGCAGTTCTGTAAATAAACACTTACACACACCACACTACTCTGATGCTAAAGACAAACAGCTGAAGGAAAATACCAAATCACACATTTCATTTTCAACCCAAAGCGGGCTGGACAAGGTAAAGGCACACAGATGCTCTCACTCCTCCATGTGCACACACAAAAATTACACACATACCCCACAGATTAAAGTAATCTGGAAATGAGGCCGGAGCATGAGAGATTGAGAGCAGGCTTTCATTACAATTTTAGCTGTAAAGAGAGAGGAGGGAGGAATAGATGGAAATGGGTGGCAGAATAGAGTTAGAGATAATTATATTTTGGAAGGATTAGGCATTTAAACACTTAATTCTGCATACTAAATAAAGAGACATAGAACAGCTTGTCTCGTGGGTGTCTGCTGTGTGCTTGTAAATGTGGAACAATGTGTCCAAGTATGTGTGTTTGACTATGACAACGGACAACAACATTTTTGGTTTAGCATCCCTGTGCTTCCAGGCAGGCCAAGTCTTGCTGCTCAAGATGTTTGCCAGTGATGATGGCAATCTGTGCATGCACAACTGTAGGCACCATGTGGGATTAGTTTAGAGTGAGTGGTTTTTAACTGCGTAATGTTGTGCAATCACTAGAATCTTCCAAAAATGGGCATTTTGTTTAAAAAAAATACTTGGAAACATCTTAGCTTGATCCCTAAATTCTTAACCTACTCAAGCAGTCATTAGTTTAAATTGCAAAACTGCTTCAATCTAAGGGAAATTGTGCAACACGTGCAAGTAAACCACATAAAGCTGCACCATGTTGCCCTCGTTCACATTTCAGTGGATATTCTAAATCAAAATCAAAATCCTAAAGTAGGTAACATTTCCAGTGTTTGTACACTGTTGTACACTTTTATGTATTGTGTGGATTTACCTCTGTCAACATACTTTCTTCTTATTTCACTTTACATTACACCTTTGTTGTCTGAGTTTCATGCAGCTCCACAGCAGCACAGTTGTCTTTATGTCCTCTTCATTATTCTAATACTTTTTCTCTGGCTTTTAGAACAGCAGGATGAACCTGAAGAGCATCTTTGGGGTTTCATTTATTCCTTCTATTGGCACATAAAGTACAGCCTCCCACTTTAATTCCTTTTTGCCTCTCTGCCTTTATGTTTGTCTGCCTTACTCTCTCTTCTCTCTGGAGATCAGTGGATCGGTAAGGCTAAAGGCTAAAGGCAGGAGGAAAGCAGTCAGTGGTACTGCTAATGCAAAGTCAATCCTGAGAAAAAAGCAAAGAACTAAGTTAACACTCAAATATGCAAGCACATAGACACTGGCACACTGGCACGCACACTTCTGACCGGCTAAAAGCTTCATTGTTTTGATTCACTCTATCTGAAGGCAATTATTACACTTCTTACTGTCTCAAATGCACCAGTGTTACCATTTTCAGTATGAGTGTGTATATGAGTGGGCTTGTGTGTGTGTGTGTGTGTGTGTGTGTGTGTGTGTGTGTGTGTGTGTGTGTGTGTGTGTGTGTGTGTGTGTGTGTGTGTGTGTGTGTCTTACTTCATACACATCATCACTTAATATCATCATATCATATCTCTTGTGCAGTGCTGCTACAGAATCAGTCAATATTTGTCTAGACAGACAGGGTAAGCTTAGCCGTTAATGGAGTGGATGTTACAGCAAGCAGAAGAAGAAAATAGGGAAAAAAATCAAGGTATTATATCTTGATGATGTAACTTGTGCAGTAGAAGGTGATCATTATTGCTGCAACAATTCTTATTTGAAACATGAGTTCAGGTTTCAGTGTTTCATGTTGCAGCGCTGCTGTGACAAGGTGACTGAGGTGAAGACAGGTGTACCTGTTGACTTTTAGTAGGTCACAGAACTAGTGACAGATTACCGTTCGAGGTATTTAGATTCAGGATTATCACATCACAACCGCTTTAATTTGGGTTAAATGCTCTGAAATTGGACTCCTGAGATCACAGAGTGCAGAAACTGCTTTATCTATTGCATGAATAAAAAAGCACAGGGCAGGATGACATGCACATACAGAGGGTTACACACCACAGTATTTGCAGTGGGAGAATGTTTTATTAGCTTGGTATGATTTATTGGTGCAATACTTAAATGGCCTTGTGTGTTCTGCCAGAGATTAGAATGAATTAATCAAATTTATTACATTTGAATAAATTTTTTTCCCCCAAAGCCAATGTGCTGCAAACACCAGTTTCTTAGCAACAGTGAGTCATGCCATTTGAGTACCGTCCAAACTATGTACATAAATGTTAACACTAACCAACTGTGTAGGGTTTTTTTAAGACAGTGCAGACAATCTAAATGTGCATATGTGTGTGCCCTGCTGTGTATTTGCTGTTGTTGGGCATGCATTTGTCTGTGTGCAACAACAACATTACTTGTGTGACTTAAAGAGGAAGATATAGTTTGTAGGAAGGTTGTGAGCTGTCAAATAGGTCAAAGGAAGCAGTGAATGTGGGAGAGAATGAGTACCAGGAAAGAGTGTTAATGCTGAGCAGCAAGGTGATAAAGGGGAGAGAGAAATTGGAGCATCACCCCTCCCTCTTGCTCTTGCCATCTGATGTGGAGACGGTGTTGCTAGGGGCAACCATCCGAGCAAGAGAAAGGGAGAAAGAGGGAAATGAAGAGACCAGCTGGTAAGGGGAATGGCAGCAGAGAGGCTGGAAGGACACAGAGTGCGCCAAACAGCATCAGCAACGAGGAGACAGACCTGATATGTCTTGCCTCACTCTGCCTCGCTTGACTGAGCAGAGCTGATTGAAGCAGAGCTCCAGATGCCGGCGACGAAGCAAAACAGTCGAGCAGAGGACACGACAGCTTGCCAGCATCAGCAGCAAAGAGGCAGGCTGCCCAATCATCAGCTGACATGCTCATGAGTTCAGCAGCCAATGAGCTGCTGGGAGGCACTCAGATGCAGAGACAGCACTAGCCTGGCTCAGATCTCTTATTAATGAATGGAGCAGTTCCCAGGCTGGATCACTGCATATCGCCGCGCTCTCTGCTCGGCTGCTCTCTGCTCTGACACGGGGAAAAACATCAACATTGACAATAAGGACAGCAGCAGTGTAGGAAGATTTAAACAGTGGCCATGAAGAGGCGACAAGGAAACACCCATGATGAGGACACAACCGAGGACATGGCAGCAGCTATTCAAAACAAGGATCCACATCCTGATCTCCACCCACCAGATTCACCTTCTCCATCATCATCTTCTCCCCCTCTTCCTCCATTAGCTATGCCACCATCTACATCTGCCTCCGCTCTCCTGGCACTGGGTTCTCCAGCCACCCGGCGCTCCATTTCCATGGGAGACTTCCGAAGGGTGACAGGGGCTCTGCTAGCCGGTTCTGAACCCCCCTCCACCTCTGCCACAGCCCCCTCCTCCAAGCTTGTCACCCCCAGCTCCAGCATGGAGTTTGAGGCAGCTCGACGGCGCCTTCTGGAGGTGGAGGAGCGCCAGCGTGTCATCAGGGAGATGGAGCGAAGGCTGGAGGAGCTCAGGGAGGTGTTTGTGCGTTCAGAGCAGGAGGTGGTGGTACATGGGGAGCTGGTGTCACGGATATCTAGTGGAGCCCAGCAGGGAGAGCTGTATGTTGCAGAGAACAGCCAGCGGCTGAAGAAAGGCCTGAGGTTCAAGAAACATCGACCCACCATCGTCTTCTCCTCCATGCTGGGACTCCGCACGTGCCTCCCCTGGCCTGTGAAGCTCAAATAAGACAGTAGAGGCTTGCATTTCTACCATCGCTTTAGAAATGTGCTTTACATTAGCAGGAAGATAGACTTCCATTCTTTAGATATCACTCACTGACACAACCTTTCTGCTCTTGTATCCTGAGGCTGGTCCTCCAGGTCTTTAGAGTGCCTACAATAATCACAAATGCTAGTAAAGAGCTTCCTGTAGTACAATTCTGAGGAAATTCTCTGGCTAGCAAACCAGTCAAGCCAGTACCAGTGCAATGTGTACAGGATGTCATTATGTCTTCATTGTTTTCAAAGATACTTTGCTGCTTGCAGTTCGGTGTGGTGTTGGACTTGCATAGGAGAGATTGTTCATTGATAGTCCATGGTGCATGGATGAGTCATTTTTCAGGTGATGTGGGAGGAGAGGTTCAGACTGGCCTGTTAGGTAACAAGAGTCTTGCTGTATGTCTCTGACCTTATGCAGCAATGAACGAAAAGCCAGTAAGCATTATGTAATGTGAAACTTTTTTAGAGGAGGAAGAGGAAGAGATGGGGTAAAGAGGGGAAAGGAAAAGAGACAGAGTAAAGGCGCTTAACGATCTGCCTCTCAAACATGTCACGAGTGAAGTGAAGGGCAGTGGAAGAGAATCAGAGGTGAAGCTATGATACGGATTGGTGCACTGTTACATAAAACCAAGGATGCGGTGAAGAGGCAGGATATGGAAAAGAGTCTGAAAAAGAGAAACTGCACAGAAGCGTGGGATTTAGATGGCTGAGACATACACAGAAAACGTGCCTTGGCTTCTCCGTGACCACTCGTTCCACCACCACAACCTCTGTTTTTGGCAGCATTAAACAGGGAAAAGCAGGAGAGTAGGAGAGGAGTTTGTGCTGGGATGATTCCACCTGTGGCCTCTTTTTATCCAGTCACCTAGCAACCACTCATCCCTCGATCCTAAATCCGCTTCCACAAACCTACAGAATGTATCCAGCAGAGCACTGTAACTATAACACCACGAGACAGCTGTAGAGTTCCCCTGGAGGATTTAGGAACTAATATTTCTGCTGCATTTATTTAAATTAATTCAGAACTGGCTATGTAGTCAAATATATTATTGATACAAGATGTTGCTGAACCTGCTCATTTATTTAATGATTAGGGGTTGCACTTAAGTTAAGCCATGCATGCATTAGCAAGGAAAGCCAAGATAGGCCGTCACTGTTTGCTTCACTGTGTCTTGGTGTTATATGTGACAATGGAATGCTATTCAGAGGTGTTACAATGACACGCGTATAGTGCATAGTGTGCACAGTAACAGCCTCACTGATATCATAATCAGCTTTTTGTGGCGTATAGGCACATTAGACAATATGTCTTCATTCAGGGTTTGTATGTCAATATAAAACAGTTTGTTTAGGTAATAGATCAACCAGTAATTGTGTTGTGATCCTTCACATGCACAGCAGTATCTTTGTCCCATACGCAGTGGATGACCTGATTTCTACATATAGATCACACAGATTTTTTGGCCTAATTCTTCTCTTCCTTCCTCCTATTTCTCTTCTCTTTAGATTAGCAGTGACTAAGTATCTCTTGTATTCATCTATTCCACCAGTCCCTTGCTTCAGCTGTATGCGTAGAAAGCATAGCCAACACACCAGGGATATCTATTTTTGGCTTTCGAAGGTTATGGCAGAGAGGCAGGCATTCAATCACAGCACAGAATTTGTTGTAAAAAGCACGTACAGCGATGTGAGCACATGCTAGTATCTATGTGTGCTAATTTTCAAAAGAATGGGAAGGGATGACTGCAAGGGCAGAATCTCTGATAGTGCTTTGTTTGCTCCCCGATTATAAATTACCTCAGCGAAGAACAAAGCACGGCTGTTTCCAAGAGAGGCACATGGCTTGACTGTATAATTGCTTGAGTCATCATGTGCACTTAGATATTCCAGTTTTAATTGCTCCCTAGTTGCAAAGATATGCACGATTGGCACATGTTCTTGCATCATTTAAGATGCATAAGCAATGTCTCTTGGTCTCTGTCAAGTCAAAGGTGGCAGCAAAAAGCACTGATGCATTGCTCTGAGACAAAGGGGTCTATATCAGGAACTCTGCAGGCAAAGTGAGAAGAAAAAAACGTGATGCATGTAAAATCAGATGTGAAAATTAAATGCACAAGTTTAATAATGTAGGCTGATGCACATCAAATAGAATGAAGACAATGGCTTTGGTTATTTTCTAATTTTGATTATAAGGGCTTAAATGATCTGTTTGTCTAAGTTGATTAGGAGCACAGTTAAAGGGGCAATTCACTGATTTTACACATGATGGTCATTGTGGAAAGGACCACATACCACCTTTGAAAACAGTTGTAAAATGTCCTCTGTGGTCTGAAAAAAATATGTTGACGGTCTAATGAAAGATTGTATCCAGTAGTATTATGGGAAATGTAGGATCCAGCATTTCTAGAGCTATACTCTAAAAATCAGGATATCTGCTGCTTTGATTTTGATCGTTATTTTTTAAAAACTGTTCCTTATGAGTCCTCCAACTTCAGGGAAGTACAGTACTAAATAGCTGCCGTACCCTTTTAAGCAAATACTATGTTACTGATTTAATGTTCCTGTTGACGTACTCAGCTTTCAGATTTCTGACAGCCACAATGACTTTATCATTGAATGCTGATTGATTCTATATAAGCATTCCACATGGCCACAAGGAAAGTACTGCTTGCCGTCTTTGTGCACATCTAAACCAAACAATATTTAGCTAAGCCAGTTGCTAGCAGAATGCTTGTGTAAAAAAAAAAGGGTCTAGTAGGCCTTAAACTGTAATCATGGTCCTATGTATATAGCTAGAGTTATAACTGAATATACAGCTGGCCTATATATTGCTTTTCATACGCCTTATGCAGAGTTTGTGCATTGGCAGTGACGATAACGATGGTGATAGTACTGATGATGAAGGTGATGGTAAACAGGTGAACTCATGACCATCAGAGACCTCATCCAGAAACATCATTATCTGGGCAGAAGAAAAAAAACAACAACTCACACACTGTTGTGAGACTGCACCTTTGTGTTTTTCTATGAATGAAAAAGATTTCCCAAAGATCTCTTGGCCCACTTGCAGAATGAATGTAATGTTAATTGTTACTCTTTGTGTTTACAGTATAATCACATCTATCTTGTTTGAACCTGTGGTTGGCAATAAATCCTCTTGTACTCATTTTCAGGTCTTTTTACAGTTAAGGTCACATGACTTTTGATACAAGAGATTTCAACCCAAACAAATTAGTGTTTGGAACTACAATTTCAGCTCTCACAGCCCTTTACTGACAAGCACAGGTCCAAAAACACATTTCTGATGTTTATTTATCCTCTGAATTGTTTAATATTTTGTGTTTGTTTAAGTGATGTGTGGTTTAGTATGTATTTATGTTCTGGTGGAACAAGCACAGAACTTTATATTTTCCTTTATATCAGGTGTTTATGACATTTTATTCACAGTATGATGATATTTTTGATTGAGAGCTGTATATTCTACTACTTGTATGAATGTTCAAGTCGAATTTTACTTGGAAAATGTTGTATGCTTAATAGTAATTGCAGGTTTGGAGTCAGTTTGCTTTCAGTTTTAAATGTTAAATGAATCAACTATTTGCATAATTACAGAGCCTTAATTCCAAAACGTCTGACACATTTATGATTATGGGACCCTGTTCACAGGAAAGAAAATCCACTTTCAAAATGTAATTGAAAACCAGCTGGATTGGAAGTTAGTTGTCCCCAAACCTTTCTGATATACTAGAACTGCTTCTGAAAAGGCTTTTGCTTTCTGCTGCACAGTGAAAGAATGAATGTTCTGCTATGTTTAACGCTTAAATTTGCTACCACTTAATTTCCTTGACACTATCATTTACTTGAGCACAGAGCTACAATGTACAAGACTAATAAATGTTAAAAGATAGATTTCATTTTAAGCATTATCAGGTTTTGTAAGATAGACTGAATTATTAGAATAAAAAGAACTAAATGACTAAAATGTTTCATTTAGCTTTTTTTTCATATCTCATACTACTAATACTCTCTTTGGGATTTTGCTTGAAACTGCTAACATAACATATAAGTGTTTCAGGTGGGAAATATTACATCCTTTGCAGTTGCATGGGAGGTCTAGGAAGTAAACGGGGTCACCTTGCAGCAGTCCACAGCAGCGTAGCGCCGGATCAGCAGAAAACTGCTCTTTGACGTAACAAGATGCTGCAGACGGGAAAGAAACAAAAGCGATATATATATATATTTATATGTATATATATATATATATATATATTTATATGTATATGTATATGTATATATATATATTTATATGTATATGTATGTATATATATATATATATATATATATATATAAATAATGAGTCAGTCAGTTGCTTGCTTGTCCATCAGAGCTTCTTCTTAGCTGATTATTTGGTTAAGTGGAGGTTAGATAACCCTGTGTTGAGATGGAAAGGGCAGAATTACTGGAAATATATCCCATTTCCAAGTGCTCATTATTCCAAGCCAGGATTTGTGAAGTTACATTAAGCTGATGTTTCTGCTGTTGCTCACTTATTGAAAGGCATTAACCATGCAGATGGCTTTTAGACAGGCGGATTTGAATATCTAAGGTATTAGAAAGTCAGAACATCCTCTATCATATTCTATTTTCAGAGATTAGAGCCCCTGATGCATACAAACTTGACACTTGACACAAAAATGCTAATAATGGACTCAGGCCACACTTATATCCCATATAAACCCAGAGATTAGTGCAGGCTTTACCCTGCATTTAATGGACTACTATTATATTCCACAGCATGTACATTACATTAATTGATATGTGTGTGTGTAATGTTTGTTTGTGTATGAACAAATACACAACAATAAATGGATGAGAGCATCGTAGAAAGAATACATTTACTGTATGAATTAGAAGTAACAATTTACAGGAAGTGCTTGTTGTGCATGTTGTATGCATTAGTACACACAGGCCGGCCTAATGGTGGGAAATGGGTGTGTGTATGGGCTACTCAGTTGGCAGAGCAGAATCGGCCGTGGCATTATCATCCTGGCTGTTAGTGAGGTGGCCGGTTATGTAAGTGACAGGTTGGAATTTCATCATCCTGGACCAGGGCTAAGTAACGTCCGGATGGAGACAAAATGAGGCTGGAAGGATAGAGAGCTGCAGGGAGAGTTGCCAAGAAAGATGGATGGAGAGATTTAGCTTTAGGGAGGCATAAAGGGGGGAAAAAAGCTGTGAGGATTCCAAAAATGGCCAACAGTCAAAATGTGTGTACATAGGTTCCACTCCTTCAATTTTATTCAATTTAATATTCCAGATTTTTTAAATCCTGTATTCATCCAGTCTTGTTTCAATACTTTTTTTTAAAATGCCTTGATCACACTCATAAAAATGATCTATTGGCAGAAATGGAATATAATATTAATATGTATGTGTTCATTAGTGTATAATTATCTGAATATAAGAAATATTCTTTCGTTACCTTAGAATGAGCCATTTTAAAGCCGCGTGTGGCCCCCGGTGGAGTCCGCAATGTTTCCACAGTAGCCCAGAATGAACAAACCAAACATTGGCTGTAGCTTCTCCTTCACAGCCCGTTCTCATTCCCAGGTTGTCAAATATAGACACAACCGGTGTTCAGTTAGTTGCAATCTGCAGCTTCACCACTAGATGTCACTAAAGCCCACACACTGGTCCTTTAAAGTTCATAAATGAGCTATGTCTATGGATTTTGAATTATTGGACTTCTGGTATCAAAAACACCTAACTGATGGTCACCCAGAAGTGACAACATCCACCCATTTGAATTTGTATGCATACTGTCAAGTATAGGTGTGCTAAATGTAATCATGGCCACAAAACCCCTGTCACAGTCAGTTTATATAATACACATTACTAGGAAGTAGGTTTTATACTACATTAGTACATCTAGTACAGTCACACCAGATACAGAAAAATACCACATAAGTTACACTATTAAAAAAATGTGGCACTTTATTAAAAATGTTTTATGTGCATGATACAAATATACTGGCTAAAATTAGTTAATTTACTATTGCTCACATTTGACAGTTACTTACAGTCATCCACTGCTCCACAATTATCCGATAACTCGCTTGCCTTGTGATTTGTTTGCTTAATCATAAACACTGTAACAAGACAACATCAGCGAAAACAGCGAAGAGCAAACAGACTCATCGCCAGTTCGTTTAAACTCAGGAATGATTAAAAGGAAGTGAACACCTGCTTCCTGCTCACCTGTACTTATCAAAGGCAGTGTTTGTTTTCAGTTTGGTGAGACAGGATCCTTCCTGAACACTGATTATGCAACTGTATCTATTCCCTTCTTTTTTCTCTCCTTCTGAAAGCCATTTAGACAACCAATGAAACAGAACAGAGGACATCATTTACCAACATGAAATAACACTATCTGTGATACTACAACCCTTTATAATGCACAACAGATGAGAAAACAGGTGATATATACTGTACATAGGACATTTTTAGACAAGTATGTCTAACAAAGTGTGTGTATTAGCAGTGGAATGTGACATTGGGTGTTTGTTACAAGTATAAAAAATGGAGCAGTTACACCTCTCCTTTCTTCCCTAAAGGATCCTCAATCCACAAAGCTTGTGTATATCTGGTGGGATACACACATGCCCACTCTGAGTGTGTTAACTGAACAAATTACTGCAGTGGGGTGCTGTTACTAACAAGCTCTCTTTAAGTACCATTTCCTGGTAAAACAGAGAGTCTTTTTTTCTTTTTTTCTTCTGTCATTATTCCAGGTTCTCCAGAGACAGATGCCTGGAGCCAGAAGAAACTGGATCCTCCACTCCCCTTGCAGCCAGTGAGCTGTGCCCAGAGCCAAGATGGCTGAGTTAAAGTTTCAGATCTCTCCTTGGGCTGCCCAGACGCCTGCTGCTTTGTTGGAGACAGACTGGCAGGCACAAAGCCACTTTTAAGAGTCCCAGGGCAGGCTGCAACAGACACTGGGCAGGTTTGAACCTCAAAATGTCTCAGTATACTGTGATTTAAAAGACTAGACGGTTTCCATTCAGAACAGAAGCAGCTACATCCCTATACAGCGGCTGGCTAGATACAAATTTGCAGCCCTGCCAACTCTTCAGAACATTTCTTCTCAATGAGTTTAAAGTGCCTTAAAGGGGTTTTGCCCTGCAGGTAAGTTTTGCCTCATAGTCATTAACGGTTAAATGGACATAAAAGCAGTTTCTACCCCAACCACAAATGCATTCGTACCTATTATTAGTGGTTCATGGTTTAAACAACTGGAGAAACATGATGCAGTTAGGAAACACAAGGATAGAGCAACAGGGAAGAAAATATAGTCCTTTTCATAAGAGGCTTTATGGGGCTGTGAAAGCCATCAGTTCCAATGTTAGTTACCAGGAAATGTTAAAGGGTATAAATCCACAAAATAGTGCCATTTATATCCTCAGGTATCCTTTGGCTACATCCTCATGTGGAAATATTTTCAGTTCGCTCAAACACTTTAGTTTGAGTTGGATCCAGGAGAATACAATGTCCTCTCCTGTAGATAAAATCCACTGTGGGGTGACGATAAGATTCTATGAAGCATCCCATGCTGGTTCAGTTCCTCTACTATGTACATACAGTACTTTCACATTTCCATGTCCCTTCAGTCTGTGAGTTTGTGTACATAGTTGACAGGAAAGGTCCCATTCCTGCACGGGTCCCCCTCTATGTGACCAACCTGTTAAGATAAAGAATGATGTAATATTTACGATGTGAACACATATGAAAAGTCAATTTTATATATTTTACTTACTATTGTGTTAAATCCTTCACTGTGCTACCCAAAAGAGGAATGGTAACTGTAATGAAAAAAGTTGTAGTTGCACTTACCCACCAGTGGGGGTCATTAGCGGCCGTGACCACAATGATCTCATCTTTGAAAAAGGCGAGCTGCTCAGAACTGACTGCTCTGCAGTCCACTAAAGCCTTGACACGCTTCTGATGTGGCCTGCTGCCAGAAACCTTGAAGAGACATGTGATATATTTTTTTCCGCGTGCCACCAGCACATTTATATTGACTGTGAAATCTTACAGGCCTTTTTTCATTCTCCACAGAATTGAACTGAAGCTTGTGATATCTGGAGGACTTAAACTACAGGCTGAAAATAGTAGAAAGAGGTTTCTATGTGATCCTACCATAGCGTTCCTTCGGGGTCGTGGGGCGCAGGTCACGGTAGGCGAGGATGACGGTGCTGGAGCTGGAGCTGGGGTGAGGCCCGGACTATTCCCCACTAAGCTGCAATACAGCTCCTCCTGGCTGCCTACACAGCTTGGAGACAGCACACCACACTTCCCCTGGCTGCCTCCTCCACTGCTGGTCCGACGATACGATGTGGTCTTCTCTGAACTGGAGGGTGGGCAAGACACATGAAATAAAACTGATCAAAATAGGCCCTCTGTCATATAGAGTTGTTTGTGAACACATCAAAACTGGACAGCTTTTCATCTCTGTAGCATTAAGGATTGTCCTCCATAGTCTCAGGCAACAGCAATATTTAAATTTTTGTGTCTAGACTTGGCATCAACTTGAATTGCACCCTTTCAGTGGCCTTCTTTACACCTGACACTATTGTGTTTATAGTGTTGACAGAGATGTGACACCTTGTAGCAGTGCTGTCTCACCTCACAGGCCCTATGTGGTTCTGAGAGGATGTTGATGTGACACTGCTTTGAGACCCAGAACTAGCACCAGGTTGGCCCTCCCAGGTCTGTTTCTGTCCCCTGAGCAGAGCTCCCTGTCCGTGGGGAGACCTAGGTGGTCTCCCCGCTTGACCTTGGTGTTCTATGTTGGGTGACGGAGAGTTATGCCTGGCCTGTGTCTGGGGACTAGAGGAATGGGAGGCCGGGTTAGAGCACCGTCGTGGAAGGGGGTTGCCTTCCTGCGTCGTGACCGAAATCTGGGGGTCTGAGCGACCTGTGGAGGGGAAGAAAATGAAGAAGGCTGTAATTTAATTAAGATACTCATTAATTCAAAACCCAGTGTGGGATAAATGTCTTGCCAAGACCTAAAATTAAACTTTAAACATGTTATTAGAACTTGCACTGTGCTAGGGCTGCACAATTAACTGAAATATTATCAAAATCGCAGTATGGCCAAGTGAAATTTCCAAATCGCAGAACCTGCAATTTTTGGATGAGAAAGAAAGAAGAAAAACGTGTGACAAAACAGCATTATAATGAAGTAGCATAGTTCTGGCCTACAAATCTTTTTCTCCAGATGTAAGAAAAACCTGTTTGTTTGATACAGATCCAAAATAAATCTTACATCATCATGATCCAATCAATCATATCACATCGCAATATCTGTAATATAATTGCAATATGATTTTATATTTGTAGCTCTACACCACGCATGGGCTCAAGAGAAACAAGTTCTTGCACATAAGCAGGACAATTATGGGACATTTCACTTAATGCAACAACCCATTATAGTTTTGGCAGCAGTGGTACAGGTGTTGCATGCCAAATCTAACTGAATGTAACCTTATTAATCACTTCAATAAAACTTAATAAAAATCAATCTGCAAAATGTTACACACATTTGTTTTTTACTTTTAATGTAAATGTATCAGAATCATTGTTGTAAGTTATCGTAACCTACAACACAGTAAACTGCACATAACAGCTGTTGGAAAATATGACTTCATCTGGCTTTCGATATGTCACATATTACTTGGTGACAGTGCTCCACTGTGATTAGCACAGCTGTTTAAAATGTAAGCTGAATTATGGGCTGCTTAGAAGCACAATTCAGTGTATTCCAACTCTTTGGCACAAAGCATTATGTGTTTTCAAAGAGTGCTTTCTATAATGCAGATAAGCACACTGCAGTAGCTCACCTCTCTGGATGCATTTAGCTGGCAGTGGTGGTGGTGCTGATGCTCCAGAGGGGGCGCTGTTGGCTGGAGGATTTCTGTATAGGAAGTCTAGATTCTCATAAGTTTGACAAGGCCTGCTTCCAACACCACCACTGGCACCATTAGCCACACTCCAGCGGCCAAAAGAAGTCCCACCACCTCCATTTGAGGACAGAGGAGAGCGGTTTTTGGGTAATGGGCTTACCTGGAGGAAAGTGGAACATACATAAATGTTAATTTATAGTTAATCTTCAACTCTGTTTACGGCACTTTTTGTAGAGTAGAAATTGCAGTGGAAAACCCCCTTTGCAAAAGCTTTTTTGGCAGAGAGTCAGTAATGAGATTGGCTCCTTACCCTCTCATCCAGGTCATCCTCACTGTCATAAAACTCCTGAGACTGTGTCTCCCACATGAACTCCACGTGGATCTGTGAGTTAAACTTCCCACTCTGGGCCAGCTCCAACTAAAACACACACACAGAAGCACAAACACTCAGGAAACTCTCATCTCCACATAACACATAACAAGTTTGCACACACACAGTATTAGGAATCGGCTATGCTGCTGTAACTGTGTACTTTGCTTTGCTGGAGTAGTTCGGCTTCTTGGCTGTTCCTGGGTTGTAGGTACAGATGAGTACAAATATTTCAATGTTTGTGTATTAGCTGTTTGATATTTTGTGAGTGTGACCTTTAAGATTTAAAAATTTCACTGAAAAACTATTAGGAAAGAGATAAATGGGTTAAATATAATCGCTGAAAGAAAACTCCAGAGTCCAGAGACAGCCCTCATCTCATTGCTGCTTCCAGATTTTAGAAAAACAAGATCACCTCAATGCAAAGGAAATTTAGCCAATTGGGAAATAGGGTTTATTTTAAAGCTGCTCACTTGTGTAACCTTTTTCAGTCTCAACACAAAATCTCTAAAACAAGGCTGTGCACAATCAAACAGGATATTACACAAGGCAGGTCTGATTCAGCAGGGCAGATGGCCGGTAAGAAAATAAAACCAGCTTCTAAATGATACACACTGGGGCCTGATGAGTATAAAATTCCTTGTCCTGGGAGTGAGTCCTTAGCCGAGCTTTGCTGCACGGGGAGTTATTTCAAGGTAGTATTTCCAGCTGTAAAAGTTGTCCTGTTTTGTTTCTGGAGTAGGCTTTCTGGTAGGCATTTTAATGTTGCAACTCGATTCCTCAGTTGAACTTACCTCCTGACTGTGTGTGTTCCCTGAATTTATGAACAAAAACTTAAAGATGAATTAAATGAGAGAAAGTTGGTTCTTACGAGCTCGACACATTGCGTGTGCTGCAGTCTGCGTGCAACATCAAGGGCTGTCTCTCCTGCAGAGTTTACTATAGGAGATGTAAAAGAACAAATGGTTCAAGTCATTACTAGTTGCACTCGGTTAAAAAGAAATAAAGTTAATTAGTAGTTAAAGCTACCTGTGTGTAAGGCTGCCTTTGCTTTGAGCAATAATTTGAGAGACTCTGGCTTGTGATGCAGAACGCTGTAGTGGAGAGCTGTGTTTCCTTCTGCTGTTCTCTTCTCCAGACAATTGCTGTAGTCAACATACAGTATAGACAGATGGTGTTAAATAATACCTAGAATACCAACTCGAACAATCCTCTGAATCATACTTGACTATTTGTCAGTGTCTGACCTGTTCTGGCAGAGGAAATCCACCAGCGCCAGAGAGCTTCTTTCCTCCAGACGCACAGCAAGATGAAGAGCGGTCTCTCTGACCCCCTTAAACAGGAAGAAAAGTAGAGTACAAATTAGGCCAAATTGTTGACCCTCAAAAGAGACTGCCCATCTGCCACTCAGTGGGCTCAAGTGGCTGCATTTTGTATCTGACAATCAGGCCTAAAGACTACTCGAATACAAGTGAAGCTGTCAGAGGTTGATTGTGCAACAACTAATTTGTGTTTGTGTGTTGAAAAGTGAAAACATGGCTACAGCTTTAAGCATGATCTATTTATGTAAAGTGCAAAAGGAGGGGCAGAAGAAAGCCACTGAAGTGCCTGTGTAATTCAATAAGCTCGTCTCACTTGTTCTCAAGAGACATGAGCTCTGACCTAAAAGCTGAAATAATAAACGAGCGCCAACCAACACAAACAAACACACATACATACACACACACAAACACACAGCGAAGTCAGTGGTGTTACACAGGCTGCTTATGCTGAGCAGGAAGTGCTTGACGGGATGGTAGAACTTGATTAAAGACAAGAAGACGAGGCGTTGAGGAGAGACAGCAGAGGCGGGGGAAAATGAAATGAGAGGATGAGTAGAGAAAAAGGGAGGAAAGATTAGATTAGAGGCTTGAAAAGATGGGAGAGCCTCCGACTACCCACCCACATAAACCATAAACACAAGAGGACAATTAACAAATACTTCACATACTGTAACCATTCACACACCTCCTACATACTGTATGGCTTAACAGTTTTTAACACTAGAAGGGTTTGGTTCTATTTTTAGCCATTTCAACCACAGTTCTAAAGTGACAGGAACAAGTCACTTTAGTTAGAAACTTTATGAAACATTGCACAAATGTGTAGTATTGAACAAGCCGGGTGGGCGGCCTTGTCAGGATGTAGCTGTCATTCAAACAAGAAAAGGACATCTGTGTGGATGTTATGGTTTAGATTTGTCACAAGATGATGTGGGTTTATTACACGCATTCCCACCCTCACCCTCAGGACACATTTCAGGAAGAAAAGCAGGTGTGGAAATCCACATGCGGCTCTAAATTATTTTCACCTGTCCATCAGACAATGTGAGTGGTTTGGCCAGGTCTGCTCCCTCAGCGTAGAGCTGTAGAAGAGAAGTGAGGTCACGACTCCTCACGGCGTCATACAGCCGGCCAGGATCTGCTTCTTCTCTACGCACAACATACCGACGCTCAGCATACTTCGCCACAATGTACTCCTTTCTGGCATTCCTGGTTGTTAAGATTTAATGGAAAAATACAGTAAGTACAAATTATATAAATCACAAAACTGTAGTTTATTGATTTTGAACAGTCTGATTGTCTTGAAAAAAAAATCAGGGACTAACATGTCACTTTGTGGCAATGGTTTGACCGAGTCATTTGGAAGACCCGCCTCCATGATGTCATTGAATCTGGTGTTGCCAATACTGACAGCCAACTGAAGTGACACAAAATGCAGTAACAAAGATGTGACATTATAGTATTTCAATGAAAGACCGCAGACGGTTACGTAATTCCTGTAATTCCATCGAGACAGTGTCGGTTTTAGTGTGTTTCCATGTGTGAATTTAGTACCAGAAGCTCAGAGGTGCTCAGTAGGTCCAGAGTGAGGGACTGGATCCTGGAGTAGTGGACACCCAGCTCTCTGTGGATGCCAGAGCACTCTATACAGGTCAGGATGCCCAAATTGGTCGACAGCCAAGTTGGATCTGAGATACACCGAGCACAAAAAGTCACCGGACTGTTTAAACACACTGCCTCTCTAAAAACACAGCTTGAATTGATGAATGCTGTTTGTTATGAATAATGTCATGCTCATAAAATATATGAAACTGGTTAGAAAACATCTAAACTCCTGATATAAATCAATTTAATTATGCAGCGATCATCAATAACAATGCCTATCTGACCTGGAGCTCCACAGTCAGCGCAGGCCTCGTTGCCAGGCATGTGTCGGAGCTCAGCGATGATGGCTCGGGAAAGTTCCTGGAGCCCGCTGTCCTGGAGGTGGAGCTGATCTCCTCCCAACGCTGTGTTCAGGGCCTCCTCCTTACTGTTCTGCAGAACTGACACCCAGCTAGAGTACAGATACACATACATAAAGAAAACATTTTAATAAAAGAGCCAAAAAGTTATTTGTTTACAATTTCCACAATTTGTAACAGCTCACTTGGAGGGGAAGCATAGAGTTTGTGGCACCAAGAGAAACCAAAGGATTGATCATTTCAGTCGTTTCCCCAGAAGATCAAAAGTGGTCCAGCATGTGTTTTGCATGTGTTTTTGCTAAGCTGTCAAATGATAAGTCATCATTACGCTCACTTTCCCAGTTCTCTGCCACCAGGACTCATACTGAACCTCAAATCTTTCATTTCTGAAGCTTTCTGGTACTTTTCCCTCCAAACCATTTCCATCTCCCTCTGCCCCTAAACTCACACAGCATATCACATCAAAGAATCTGCCTGGAGGCCCACAAACAAGGGAAGGGTAAGGGACAGAAAAACCCACATCACATAATAAAGTTCCCTTGCTTGCTGTCTGTGGCTAGAAAGAGAAGTTCCACCCAACACCATCTGGGCCAGGGGGCTCCTAGAGGACAGCGTTTTCTTTCTGCATCCTTTAGTTTCTCAGCCTTTTTGCCCATTGTCAGCCTGTCTTCACTGCATACATCATTAGATTACACAATCTTTCTATTTTATCATCTTCAGGACACTTCTATTCCTTATGAACGCACCTTAGTTGTTTGTAACATTACACAGATTCTTTCTCATACAGGCCTAAGCTCAAATCAAGGCACATGACATGTAACTACTTGCTTACACAATGAGAAAATACAGGAGATAAGAAAGTGAATAAAGCTAACACTGCCTACATTAATTTCAACACTTACATCACGCATTCCTGCTCGTCTTCTGCCTGGAAATGGTATGTCCGATTATCTATAGAAAAGAACATACAGTGGTTATACACTGTAAGTGCATAAGTGCAAAAAATAAATTGCTCAATATAGGAGGGAGTGAAGAGGGTTTTGAAGTTGCATGAGTAAACATGGCGTAAAATTAGCATGATGCACACAAACGCCCCTATCAAAACAACAGTTTAGATTAATCATCCAAACTCTGGCATCATCCAAAATAAAATGTGTCTGATTCCAATTTCTATTAATGTGGGGACCAAACAGACAGGCTTACACACAGCTGCACTGCAGATGACTCTTTAGAGTCTTTAATCACGTGGAGGGTAAAATGTCAAGGGTCAAAAGTTAGGAATGAACTTACGAGTGACCAAGTCAAAGGTCCTCCTATCCTCTGGGTTCGGTCGCACCTGACAGGTCAGTAGGTTCAACTTGGCTGGGGGTCGATTGATCTGTAGACAGACACACAAACTTATATCAGTATGCATTGGAGAACAGATTTCAGTTGACAGCTGCACTTTCATCAGAATTCAAAAGCTTGGTGACAGTTTAGCCCACGTGTCCTCACCGTACTGTGGGAAATGGTCAGGCAGCCAAATTTCACTCCACACTTCCTCTTCTGCCACACCTTCCTTATCCTGTGGGTTGAAATGCACACAGAAAAAAACTTCCATCTTGAGGAAAAATATTTTAACACATACTGTTGACATAACATTATCAGCTTGGATGATTTCTGTGCAGTGCTTTAAGTGATAACAGTGATAACAGTGTTAACATGTACCATTGAATTGAGTAATGGTGATCTACACACTGTGCTGGCCCAGCTTACTGTGGTTGACAGTGCTTCACTCTTGTTGTCATTATCTTGACTGAATTGGGTAAAATGGAAAATGGCTGAGAATGTGTTCTGTTTTGTATCAGTGGCCTAAGGAAGTTTTTGCTCCCACCAATCCCCCCTCTCCCATTCATCCTACTGCACCACATCCCCTCTCCTTATCACACTGTAATCTAGCTCTGTGTATATGTGTGTGTAAGTGTGTGTATATGACGCAAAAGTTGGATCTGCTCAGTTAGCCAGTCTGCCAGTAAGTTTCAAAGGAGGGGCCCCTGCTTGAATCTTCATCTCTCACAATAATGAAGACCAGGTGGGATAGACAAAAGTTCCCCTTTCTCTCTCTCTGTGACTTACTTGCTTACTCTTCACCCAGCTCTGAACACTACTGCCCTCCACAGTGAGCAGTGTTTATCACTTTGAAAACTTTATAATTCCTTAAAATATGTGTTACAATAACAAATGAACTATGTGTTAATGAGCCACGACCCATTAGATGATTATTGACAGTTTACAGCACATTGTGATGTTAGTATGCATGTTTTTGACATCTTGTGTTTTTGTGTTGTTTTACAGCTGCTTGTAACCTGATATTTGGAGACTGTAACTAATGCTTTTACTCACCCATCACTCTTCTTGAGCAGGAAGCCAGATTTCTCTGTCCCATACTTCTTGTTGCCCTGTGGTTGGTGGATGCTATACCCGTTGCCAGAGTTCTTCCTGTTCAGATACTCCTGGGATAGAAACAGAGATTTAGGGCTTTACTTCAAAGGCTTCAAGCCAGCTCTGAAGATCTTGAAAATTTAAAACAATATAAAACAAATGCATCCAGACAAAGTCAGCTGACAGTAATAACTAGCAATTAAATCCGTCTGCCGCTGGACGGTTTAGAGCTTGCGTTTTGTTATATGCATTTTTATGCCAACTCAAGTACATAATATGTAATGAGTACAATGATGCATTATGAATAAGCATACCTCTTTCCCCTCCACTTGCAGAAGTAATCTGAGAGAATCCCTCAACTGAGTGAGTTGTTTTACCTCCTCGTCCTGGTCCAGACGCACCTACAAAACACACCATAAAAATCTTTTTATTCAATTGCAGCAATAAAGAAATCTAATGAGTTGGAAGATCATCGTGTTTTTGTGCTCTCCTATGTTCATTTGATCATATGCAATGGTTTTTTGTATTTGTTCCAAGAACTGGGTGTGGAATGACAATACATCAGAGCTTTGTGTAGTGGCCTAAATAATACAGAACAGAACTCAGTACTGGGGTGTGTCATCTTAGGAGGTTTTGCATTTTGTAAGCAGCAGAGTGACCAGTCTTGCATGCAACATAAGTCAGTTTATGCAAAATATTTTAGCATTTTTCCTGGGAACTATAACATATATTCTGTCTGAATTTCCTTCTTGAGGCTGAGGTCTGGCATGTCTGAGCGGGTCTCTGTTCTGCCTATGCAGAACCAGAAAAACCTCTAACACTCCCAGTATCACAGTTAACAGCCTGTTTCCAACGCTCTATCCAGAAAAGGGAAGGAGGCAAATTGTGGACTGGAAACCAGTTGGAGTGGTTGGAGAAATAGGTGAGCACCAGGGAAAGAATTAAAATGAGGGATGCTTTCAGTTTGGTCTTTGGAAATAGGGGGAAACATTTCTGGGAATAGACTCCAATAACAGTGTCTGCCTGTGGGGTCAGCTGGGGGGAAGTTTCAGAGGAGGGGGGAGAGGCTAAGGTTTTGGCCGTTGTAAGATAGTAACAGAGAAAAAGTGCTGTAGGAGGTACTAAAAAGCGAGAGCTTTACTGTAAGTGCTTCCTTTTAATAATTGTTGTGACTGTGCAATGGATGACAATGGATGGATGTGTGTGTGTGTGTGTGTGTGTGTGTGTGTGTGTGTGTGTGTGTGTGTGTGTGGGGGGGGGGGGGGGGGGTTTGTAATAACATCAGTTTGAGTCAGCCAGGACCACAGCAGCAAGAACAGACCCTACACTCCACTAAATCATGACAAAGATTCTCCTGGAATCATAACAAAGCTGAATAATAACAATACTGCAGAAATAAGATGACTAACATTTACCCCTATAAGCACTAACTGATATAAAGCAGATAGACAGACACACCAGCTGCAGCCTCAGTGTGTTTACCGTATGAACAGAAGCAGCAAGCTTCTCGATAAAGGGAGTGAGATTCTCTGCCGCTTTCAGCCCATCCTGAAAGAAACTGAGATCAGAAAAAGAACAAATGCTGAGTCATGATGGTACTTGAGTCCTAACGTCCTAGTTCACACCAACCAAAACATCACATGCTGAAGCTGTATAAGCAACTCTGTTCCCACATGAAACCCTCGGTATGATTAAAATTGGTAAATGGTTAACAACAGTAATAATAGCTTGTAAAAGGAAAGTGAAAACCAAAGAACCTCAACGATTATGCAAAATCCTTCACTGAAACCCTTAGATAGAAATCAAATCCACATGCTTTTTAGGCCAGAAAGAAGTCTAAACTTTTCTTCTTGTTATTATTTCATACATAAAACAAAATGGCAAAACATAGGACTGGCTGAGACTGACCTGAGCTGAGCCTGGAAATACTTGATGAGGCTCTGGAGAAGATCAGGGCCCTGACGCACCTTGAGCTCCTGGATCTTTAAAAGATACTGCAAGCATAAACACAGAGACAGTTAACAACAGCCCCAGAACTGACAGCTCTCCATAGAAAGGCTAGATATCCACAAAAACATGGAGTCTAAATATGAAAATTAAAATCAATTTAACCCACCATTTCTCAGTGCCCATAATTTTAGGCTCATCCTATCCTAGACACGTTTAATATCCTGTTTTGAGAATGTTTTTTTGTGTGCGGCTCCTTGCTCCCTAGGACACTGCTTCATATTGTTTCAAAGGTCATGTGCCTTATTTCAACACTCCAGCCAGTCAGTGAACCTTGTACACTGAAACTGGAAAAAGTCTTCAAAAAATATGAAAACACAGACACAGTGTAGGCTTTATTGTGAATAATTTCCACCATGCCCCAGGTCTAAATGCATATTTTAAAAAGGTAGAAAAAAGCTTTGAGGGCAAGCTATAAGTGTTTTCTTTTTGCTCTGTGTGGAAGGAATGACTATATTGTCTTTGCTCCATAAAACTCAAGTCTGAATCCATCTGTCTCTCTGTAACTGAAGCAGAGACAGGCTCAGTGAAGTGTTTCTGTTGTGTGTGTATATTTGTTTGAGTTTGTGTGTGTGTGTTTCTCAGTGTTTGTTGTATGTATGCAGTTTCCTGCTGCAGAGAGAAAGACAGAGGGTCGGAGGGGTGGGGTAGCTTGCAACAAGTGGAAATTCCATTTTCCTTGCCTCTCTTTGTCTCAACAGCTGGTCTCAGTCAGGGTTAGACCATTTTTCTCAGGGTCTCTACATCTGCACTAACATACTTAGCTGAGACACCACCTGTATGTAACAGCACTGCCAGTGCATTTAACAAGAATTTCCCCCAATTTGGCTTTCAGGTGTGGGTCATGAAGCATTTTCATCTGCCTTTGAACTGCACATGTATATGACCCGGCTCTGCTGCAACTCTACAAGACTCGACCAATTAAGCTCATGTTTGACTTTCTAAAACATATTTTTTCCATCATAGGAATTACTGGAAAGACACACAAGGGATAGACGCTGGCCATCCAGTTGACCATGGATGGAATATGGAATCCACAAGGCAGACCACCCATGTGAACTAAATCAAACCTACCTCAGGTATGTGAAAGGTGTCTGGTTCTGGTATTTTGACTGGCACTAATCCCTTACCTCACACATTTGCAGCTGAAAGGTCCTTCTTTCTCTCTCCATGTCCTCCCCTCCGTCTGATCCCTCTGTCCTGATCAGTCCCAGCTGCCTGGTCTTCTCCTTCCTTTCCTTCTCAAGCTTCCCTCTGATGGGGGAAGGGAAGATAAAATGAGCGAAGAAAGAAAGAAAGATAGTAAGAGAGAAAAAACGTTATCATTATTCATTAATGTACTTCACAATTCTATAATCTGTCTGATCCACTCTCTTTCTCTCTGGGATTTTCCACTAACTCATTCACCTTCCTCATAAATCGCATTTCCAACGCAGGAACTTTCCCCAGGCACTAGGAACCTTTAAAGGAACATGTGCATTTCCACCACAGGGACCATGGTCTAAATTTAAGTCCCATGGACATTATTTTACACCCCAAAGTCCCCCACTCGTGGAGCAGAACTCTCACAAGTATAGGAACGTTGGGGATGGGGCTTACCACGACGAACTTTTCGGTTTAATGGTCAAATACCATCAGCTTCAGTGCACCCACACATCAACAAGGAGTTACAGAAGAAAGGATAATACACATGAACTGTCACCATTGTTGTTTTTGTAGTTGCGTGCAAATATGACGTGTAAAAACAGCCCTTTTCACTTTTTCATATGTCAGCAAACTAATTCCCAGGTCTTGATACGGACTAGAACAAGCTAAAGGAATCCTTAACTTCAATGGAATATCGTTCCTGGGACAAAACTTTTCATGTACTTTTGGTTAAAACACGGCTATAAAGAGAGAGAAGGAAGAGGAAATTAGATGAAAGCCAATAAGGAAGAGGAGAACTCTCCTTACAACATTATAAAACACTTTGAACCAACTCCTGAATGAGATCAAATGATAGCTGCAAAGTGCAATGCCTCAGTTTTGTTTCACAGCAATGTAATAGAGAAAGGCCATGGGGAATTAACGATTATCCCATTAACCTCTGCTGTTACACCAACTTCTGTGACCCAGTAAAAGACTAGCAAGAACTGTAAATGTGTGAAGTGATTCTCCTTAGGCAATAACATATGTCTGATGATTCGATTTCTAAGTGTAGAGTATGGTTAATTACATTTTTATGTCATACTCCCTCCAACTCTTCTCCATCTGTTTCTTGAGCTCCTGTAGAGAAGAAAATGGATGTTAGTGTCAGACAGTATTGTTTACATGGCATTGTTAATAGTCCACATACATTCAGGTGAAGCAGTACTCCACAGTACTTCCTTATGTATTGGTTATTATCTGCGTAAATCTGAGTGGAGCCAGACAGTTAATTCACAGAGACATGATTACTCACATTATGTTAACTAGTCTGCAATCTGGCTGAACAGGACTTCAATAGCACTTTGCCTTCCTTCACAGTTATAGTGAAGCAATGTTCATCTGTCAATGTTCAGCTTTTTCAAAGATAGGGCAGTGACAGGAGCTTACAGAAGCATTAGCCTGTTCTTACTCACTAGTCTGTTGGCATGGCAAATCAAAAGGCCAAATACTGTGCAAGACAGATCAGTTCAGTTGTGGAACATAGCTCAGTCTTACGCATTAATCTGCATAAACAGCCTCATCTTATCCAATATCTTAGTAGGCTCAGCTGTGTCTGCGACACAGACAGACAGCATTGTGTGCTTAAAGAGGAAATCCACCCTAAAACTGATTTTACATTGATATATTTCAGGTATTTTGGACAGTAAACACGTACATTGGCTTTTAAAAGCCCCACACTGCAGTAAATAGAGCATGGATGATGTGCTAAAAGTTTTTTTTTTTTAATCCCATACCTTGATATAATATATTATAATAAAACACCGGATATGGTTATTGTATCATTATTCTGGGATTTCCATTCAATGTTATCTCCACTCATCCTAAACCTACATTACAGATAGCTGATTTGCTTAAATGATTGGGCTATAGCTGAATGAAAGGAACAAAGACTGCTTTCATATCCACATTACTTTGAACTGTTTCTCATAATGTACATCTCCAAATATTATCACACTATAAATCTCAAAAGCTGTATTTGATTTTTTTTTGTATTACACCATTTATTAATCAGCTTCAGGATAGGTATAGTATCTCTATCCTAAAACAAGCCATTGAAAATGTCATCATCATATGTATATAACAAGTTTAGCCAGCAGTTGAATTAGTACTTCGTACATTTATAATAAAATCTAGACTCACTAGTCTGCTGTCCCGGAGTTCTGACTTCAGGACATTTTCCAGAGGAAATGCCATGATGTTGTTGAGGTTTTGCACCTGAAACATGTAGGAACAGAACAAATTAGTAAAATCTTTTACATAATGTCACAGGTGGCTCTTATCTCTTGCCATGTGAGCCAACACTCAAATGCACACGCACCATTCTACACACTCATATTTCCCTATGGAATTACATTTCTGGGAATGAGTGTGGATAACCCAAAAACATGGTGATTCAGTCATTTTGAACTGGTGATTCATCAAAAGAAAACACTGGGCACTAATCTGCAAAATTAAGTTTTTTTTTTTATCCAAGGGGGAGCATGAGATAACAAGATTTTTTTTATCACTGTTTGTGTACAGTAAAGTGAGAAGTTGAGATTAATTTGATGTTTGGATGAAAACGAGATGAACTCCATCAGGGATCTGATAAATCACAAAATAACCAGCATAACCCCCACAGGTTGTGCTTTACAGTAATAAATAATTAACACAAATTCCCCCATGGAAATACATCACATCTGTACTTATGCATGCAGCATGGCTTCATTTATTATTCTTCATCTCCTGTCCACAAATCTCCAGTTGACCAGTGTCACAATTTACAGAGTATGTTTGTAAATGTTCCTGCAGCTTTTCCATGGATCCTGTTGGATTACAACCAAGCTGCATCCCGCTCTTAACATAAATAATGTCCAACCACTTCCGTGAGCTGACTGCAGAGCTGGCCTGTACATATTGACACAGAGGCCTGGAGTCTGGGGAGATTGTTTTGGTTGGCATCCAAAAGCTGAGGTAAGTAATAGATAATACATGGAGTTCTGACACAGGGAAATACCTACTCCCAAAGTGCCACATGTACAGACGACACGGATCAATGCACGCGCACTGAGACAGTGGGACAAGCACGCAATCACACACACGGCATTAAGGGACGCACTCAGGTTGATTTTTCAGTATAACTCCTTAAATCACCCTCCTGTTAGTCTCTTGGACCAATTTCCCTTTACATCTGTACTCTCCCCTGTGATGCCTTGATTGACACATGGTAGGGAGTGTGTGCGACGGTGTGTGCCGACTCACACATGGAGGTCTGGGATGAATTATCATCGCCACAGAAACTATCAGTGGGAGGGTTCCGGACTGCCCCAGATTTTAGAGTCAAGAGTGCAGCTGTTGAAAACCCCTTTCCTCCATGGAAAAGCATGCATGTTGCACACACACTTATTACTCCCAAATACATCCAACATCTTATGGGGAGAGATTTGGGGTTCTTTCACCTGTTGTTTGCTATATCCAATAAATAAACTACATTATGCTGATTTACTTTCTTCCTTCTTGGTACTTTCAGATTTCAGATCATTTTTCTTGTCTTTCCCCTTTTAGTTTTTTTTTTTATTTCCACCGCTCCTCTCTCAGTCCTCTAGATTTGGTATGTAGTTTGAACTCTCTTGAACTCTCTAAAGACAGCTAATTTGAGGAAACCTCTCCTTTCCCTTCCATTTTCCTCCTCACTCTTCTCTCCTTTCCTCACCAGATTTTTGAAGAGGGCCGTGACCTCTCTGGTGAACACAGCCAGGTTGAGGAAGCCTGTGGAGACTTCGTTGTTGTCCTGGGTCAGGTGGCTATTTCCCAGGTTCTCCAGCACCTCAATATACTGCTCCTTGTTGTCCACATGGGCTGAAAAACAACACACAAAGTGAGTATAGACGTAGACAATTAAAATGTGACTCAGACTTGAGTTACATGTGCAAAAATCTTAAGAAGGCAGACTGACTTGCCCTGTTGCAGTGTGGGGATTTTAACAAGACAAGCATATGGGATAAATTAGTACTGGTTTCCACCCATCCTGGAGCAGGAGACTAGCGAACATATAGAAACCCATGTTTCTCTGGGGCTTATGGGTCACTTTCCCAAGGGTCATGACCTTAGTGGGCTCTCAGTCTGTTGAATTTATGTGGAAAAAGGCTGACGGAAAAGAATCCGAGCTCCGACTGGCACCACTTTGGTTTACATTACACTAAATCAAGTTTTACCCTACAGCTATTTTAAACTGAGGCTTAGATGAAGACATCAAATAAACACAAGTTACAATTCAAACCATGAAAGTAATCATTTTCAACCAACAAAGATGGGAAACCAAATGTCTGTTAACCACAGTTATAGAGAAGCGTCTTAGCTGCCTTTAGGAAACCCCTTGTAGATTAACAATTTAAGGAAGTAATGAAGGACCACTTGGAACAGACATCTGCAGAAGCACCCAAAGAAGACTAAACAGAGAGTAGGAATAAGCATGAAGAGCACAGTAAGTTAACCTCTTCTGCTCTAGTTTCCACTTCCAGACAAATATAAAATGGTAAACTGAGTGTATCTGGGAGACAGACTGACACAGTTGTACCAACTGGCTAAAAAGCAAGTTGGATTTTGTATCACAGCAAAATTGTGAATTTAAGGAAAAATGCAGACACACGGCAGGATAGAGGAGACAAAATCAAAGGGGGAGCAGGAGAACTGAACCGTTATGGCTGTGTGGTCATTAAAAAAAACTATTACAACAAACAACACACATGCATCTATCAAACAACAAACAGCTGAGTCACCGAGGAGCTCAGAGGATGATTTTACAGTTGACCTTTAACCACCAGATACGAGGAGAGCAACTCAACTCTTCTCACTCCACTGCCAGAACACACACAGACTCGCAGGCTGCAGCGTCTTGGCAGAAAAGTGGTACTTAGTGGTTTATGGGAATAGAGAACGAAAGAAGAGAACATCTCACCATGTGTGTGTGTTTTTGCATGTGTGACACAGTAACGCACCATCAGACTGCGTGGGGGAGGAGTGGGCGTACAAATGTGTCTGTATGCAGGGTGAGTCAGACTGTTGATTAAAATCAGGACTGATTACGTGGTTCAACAACATAATGACAGAAGTGGGGGACCTCCTGTTGTCACATTACTGGAACTAACCCATATGATTCTATTTAGATACATAAGAAGACATAAAGAAGGGGAGCGAGTGCGTATGGAGAGTAATCATGGAGCACTTCTCTGCAGCAACGACATTGCTGCTGACCGTATCTGGTTGCTTAATTCTGGGCAGCTGGCTCTCTGACTCATTTTTTACTAAAAACTATGAGTTGAAGCCTCGCAATGGGAAGCAGGCTTGTAAGCGAGCACAGAAAAACAACTTCAGGATACATTGTGCAGTTCCTCTGTTTCTCCTGCACATTTTTGAGGTCAACACTCACATCTTATGCATGTTCACTTCTGATAGACTCAAGGTGACGTACTATAGGCCTACATGACACATACGCACTCAGAAAAACATTCACTTAGTGACCCAGTGGATCCGTTAGATCACTGAATGGCACCTCGTTGTTGCCAAAACCGCACATACCATTTACTTTAACACAGACGCACACACACACCACACCAATCTATACACTCTGTATGGATATAAACACAATCACCCAACATCCCACGCACCCTGGTCCCATAACAAGAGGCCTCACTCATAAACACCACTGCCCACATGAGCTTGATGAGGTCATCTCAACCAGGCTTGTACAATGAATTATGCTGAAGCTCCCCTGTGTACTGAACAGCTCATCCTGCCATAATAGAGGCTGCCCTTTACTAGATACCAAGTCGACATGTTTCATTTGTAAGGACGGACTTATTTGTGGATTGTAAATTGTCAAAAGTTGTACTGTAGTAATGTATTATTACACTAAAACCTGTTTTAGTAATATTACATGTCCAATTACAACAATCCCAACTCAAGGTCAACTTATTGTGTTTTTTGTGGCACTAGGGCAACGCATTGATGATATTTCTAAGCTCAAGAATGAACTTTCATGCATAACTTAACTGAAGTGCCATAGATGAAATCGTAACACCTACTGCAAATTCTATCCGCTGATAAAGACTATGCAAAACAGCAGAAAGTTCTGGAAATAGCTAGTAAGTGAGCCTTGAGTTGGGATTGTTTCCTTAAACTAGTAATGTACAGTGTGCATGAGATTATGTTATGTGACGCACTGACACTTACAGAGTCCAGACGTGTGTATAGTTTTGATGATCTTCTTCATCCTCTGTAGAGTTGTGAGGTCCATCTCCAGAGACTGCAATGAAACAGACAGAACAAAGACAAAGTATGTGAAATTAATAATCAAAATAAAGATCTTTACACTCAACAAAGCCCCCATGATATGAATCAACTCTTGTCTTGTTATAGTACATGTAATTATATTCTCTGAATTTAATGTATCTTTTTAATATTGTACGATTTCTAGAACTCTGGTGAACTAATTAACTCAGTTTAAGCAACATACTTTATCATATAAATCCAATATTTCCATGCAGAAGTCCAGCTCATTGATTTGCAACTTTGCCGGAAATGGCCTAAATTGTACACCCAGAGATATTAGGGAGATAACGCGCATATTAAGGGTTACAATCTTTCGTAGACATAGGGATTAGAACTCAGTTACGCCAATGTTTGACTTGAGCTTGCTTTACTGTACCAGGTTACAGTAGGTATCTGTGAATGTGTTCAGTTATGCTTAATTTTCTCACGGTGTGTGACTAAGACCAACAGGTGAGTCAGCACTCGCCGGCAAGACAACTTGTGTTGTCATGTACAACCCCAAATGATGTCACAGCATTTATTTCACCTGTCTGACTGTCTGTCACCTTTCAGGTTGAAACAACACTGTCTTCCATTGAGAACAGAATACTTTTTCTTCTGCTGGAAAGAGCTTTCCCTTAAATGTGACGCATGATTTAGACGCAGTGCAAACAGGCTTCATTGTATTTGGACTTTCTCTTCCAAACCAACCAGGTTTGAAACTACATCCCATTTATTTCACCTTACACATGCCACTTGTTTCACCGAGCTAGACATGCTCCTCTCCACCTATGTGCAACCAGAAATAGTTTTAATGAGCCAGTAATCTAGACTGAACAGAGACTCTGCCTTGTTAGATGGTGTTGTTTACACGCCCCAGTCTTTCCCGGTCAAGTCCGCTCCCTAAGTGTTGGTTCACTAATTAAAAGGCGGTGTGGGTGTTGTGTAATGCGACTCTGCAGACAATGAATGGGAAAGTGATTTAGTGGAGACTGGAGATGGGAGTTGCTCACTGATGATGCTGGTGCTGTAGTTTCCTCTGCTTGGTAAGTTGGTTGGCGTAAGGGATAAACAGTAGAAACAAGCTGGTGCAGGTCATTAAAACAGGTTGTGTTTGTTGAACTTTAATCAGGAAACACGGCCACACAAACCGACAACAGACAGACAACCCGCCCATTAGTTGAGATGGACAATGAACAACTCAACACATCTCTTCTGAAGAAAGTAATGAGCTCCACCCATAAGTGTGCTAATGTTGAGAAACTAGCGTTTGCTGTCATTTACAGTGCATTTTTGTGTCTGTATGTGAGGTTGTGTTCACCTGCAGTCAAGGGTGTGTGTGCTACTGCTGGCAGCAGAGCTTAATATTTCATGACTAATAGACATCTGATCCTTATTTACCACATTAACCAGGCACAACGTCACGTTGCTTCAGGAAAACCTACAGTATTTCATTTCATCATGTTAACCTTAGGGGGAAACTTAAGAGCTGTTCTTCAAAACACTTTTATGGCAATGACATTAAGACCATCACAGCTTATAGCAAAAGGAAACTAAACCATTCCTTATCTGTCTGTCTTTATCGTGGCGTCCAATCAGGAGTAATAAGTAACAAGCAGCCGAGTGTGTGGCCGTAAATGGTGTCTCTGTTTCTCTGCTTGCCACCATAAACCACACACATGCCCACACATTGCCCTGGCCATTAATCAAGCTTTTCCCAGCTGAGCAGACTAAACATAATAACCACAGATCTATCTATAAAGGGACTGTTGCATTTACATCTGAGTGTCTGACTGTCTGTCTGTGTGCACATGTGTAGGATTCCAGCATGTCCCTCCCCAGAGAAGCTATTCCAGCTATGTATTTTCCAGTATGTCATGGGCATAAAAAAGGACATTAGTCCTAGATAAATACATCAGCCAGCTGTCTAAAATTGTTCTCTTTATAAATCCTGGACTCTGCTGTCTCCATCTCTGCTCAGCAGTCCGATTCTAGCCAGGAGAGTCTTAATGAAGACCTTTCATCACTCACAGACTTCAGACTCCTTACATAATCAATGAAATATTAGGATATCGGGACTATATAGAGTTACTGCTGTCAAACAACCATTGCATATAAAACTATATAATTTCCCCATATGGTGTATATTTAATTTTAGAAAAATAATCCTCAACTTTCAATGCGTAAGAGCTTTAACTGAAAACAGAGCTCCATCTTGGGTTACAGGAGAACAGTGAACCATACTGTTATGTCACAAGGAATACGGACAAGGGAGGACTGACTTGTGTGCGCACTTGGATTATTTGTTTTATGGCAAAGTTTGTGGCTGTCTCCCTCTGTTTCCTCCTTTGCCCGAGGAGCTTTGGGAGAACAGATTTCAAACAAACACACACGCACACACACAGAGACCTTAAACAGGGCCTTGAGCCAAAGTACCAGTGCAAACAGACAGAATGCACAAACTGGCCTTCACAGACACGCTCGCAAGCATGAACAAACATGAGTGCGCTCACTTACATTCACAAAAACAATACATCATTCTGTTAAAGGGCCACACTGTCTGCTCGGCCATGTGTGTTCTGTTTGTGTCCCATCTCAGTCTGACTCCCATGAGATGGAAGATGAGGCTAAGTAAACTCTCTGTATGCTACATTACCTCGTGTAACCTTTTCTTTTCTGCTGATCCGGCCCTTACTGAATCACCATGAGTGATAACATCCACTCTTTTCTGAAAAAAGTACAAGTGCAGTACCCACCACACTGAACAATCTGACAAGCAGTGCTAAATAGGACCTATACCAGTTTTGGGTCTCAAATTGTATTTAGTGAATAGTGCATATAAGTGAGTGCACAAAAACTTGTCCTGACAAGAGTTAAGAGCACACAGGTCACCCCAACATCAGCACACCACAAACATACATACATGCAAATATATTTCTCCAACATCTGTGCTAACAGAAACACCTTGCACCTTCCCCTCTGTAAATGCATCCTGTTGCCGTTAGCATTGGGTAGCTATTACAGCTTTGGAAATGAAATGACAGTTTTGTCTCCACATCTCTCTCAGACAGCTGTGCCAACCTGGAAACAATATAAAACAACTCTGAAGAAAGTTTTTTAATGTTAGGTCTACTGTAAAAACTCCAACACCTAAGGAAAAGAAAGCTCGCCTGCAGGTAAAGCCTGGAGCTACATAGCTTATGCTATATGGACAGGTAAACAACAGCTATAGGTGCGCGTTTCTCTGCGTCGCTACCCCCTCTGCCCCTCTCACCTCCTCCACGGTTGAAACTGTGCTCCGACAGTCGCTCATTTTGGACTGAAAACTTGACGTCCCCGGCGAAGACAAATCCTCGTTTGTCAGGACCACGAAGTCCGAAATGCTTATTCGCTCCGGCATGTTTCGAAGCGAAACGGGTCTGACAATCACTGAGGAGAAAATAGAGCCAAAGTTTCACGCGCGCATGTAATTCCCATTTGAAAAAAAAAAAAATAGTTCACTCCTCCATTGTGTGCAAGAAGGAAGCTGAAAGAGACTATATTCCTCTGAGTGCTGGTCCCTGAAAGCGTCTTTAAGGTGAAAAGTTGCCTAAAAAGTGGACCTGCGTCTTGACCAAGTTTAACTCCTCTCTGCGAGTGTGTGCGCGTGGAGGTGCGCCAGCGCGCTATTGTCCGCCCAGTGAGGGAGGGAGGGAGCAAACTCCATCATCACGTGGGAATGTTTGCGCTTTCTGGCACACTGCAGAGAGAGAGAAAAGTGTGTGTTTTTGTGTATGTGTGTGTGTATGTGTGTGTCCTTGCCCTCGTCTCTTTCATTCTTACTTCTCATTTCTATGCAAACTCCAGAGAGTCTGCAGTGTGGTCGCCATGGATATGCAGAATGCCTCATTCACAGACTAAACTGAAGGAGAGGAATGTCAATGGATAAGGGGACGGGTTTTGATGGAGCATTTGAGCTGTGACGCAGAGGCATACTTTATTCAGTGTCACTGAAAAATGTTATAACTCATGTGAACTGACCTGGACTGATGTTTTACCTAAAAACTGCGATTGATGCAAAGGGGCTATTTTATGTTAAGTGTTTAGATTTGCACATATTCATCACATCCCAAATAAGGCGTTCACAGGCTTGTGAAACTGCCCTTTAATCGTGAGTTTGGAGGTGTACAGCCTCTTTGGATCTTTGCACCTTGATCCTCCTGGCTGCAGACTCCAAAGCTCTTTCCTCTTCCTTTTCATCTCATGAAAAGACATTTCTCACTGAGGGAGGATTTCTGAAGCCCCCCCCCTCCTGAAATCATCTGACAAAGTGAATGAAAAGGAAAGAGTGCATCAGAGAGGTAGAAAAAAACAGCAGGAGCTGTGTATAGAACATAACTCCTGCATGCCTAGCATTGTCAAGGCTGTCAACTCAAAGAAAAGAGGTGTATCATTGAACCTTGCCTCAGGCATGGCAGTGATACAATACACTATGAAGTGCAGATGGGTGATTTTAGGAAGCCGCATCAAATACAGTGGCTCCTTTTGGTTTTACCACAAAACCACGTATTTGCCCCCTGCTTTATAAAGGGAAAATTTGTCCCAGCTCTATAGGCAAATTGAGGGTATTTTGACCATATTCATCCAAGGAAAAACAGACTCACTTTGTGGTAAAAGGGTTTCATCTGTTCTATGTAGCTACTTCTCACTGCCAATCCGTGAATATTGCAGAATGCCTTCACTGTGTGCACTCACAGTGCTGCTGTGTTTATGTTCACAGAGATGGACAAACTCGTTTTTGTGTGAAAGGTCTCTTAGCAAATAACTCACAGACACACCAAAATGCACATGCACATGCATTTGATATCTGCGTTGTGTTGCACATGCACACACATAGCCTTTGAAGCGAAAGCTTAAAGGAGTGGTTATCAAACATGATCCTCACTGGAATTCACTGGAAAACCAAACAAATACCTGTTTTTTCCATGCAAGTTAAGGAACTACACTGTTCAAAATGTGCACTAAAGTCTCCAGAGGAAAAGCTAGAAGACTCTCTCTTTAACCTATTAATCATTAAGAAAAAAACGCCCACTCTTGTAAGGAAGTGAGGGCACACGACATATTCCAAACAATGCTGAGCTATAAAAATAGCTTTGCTGACCCAGTTTACCAGGCCATCATTCTGCCATTGTTTCTGTTGCATGGCTGTATGTATGTATGTGAGAACATCAGTGAGGGAAAGATGAACAGACAGATATAATGTATGGACACATGTAGGTGTCTATTGTTGTAACATATGTTCAACAAATGTGTGTCTGCACACTTTTATGCATTCACTTTTTTGCATGCAAGTTTGGGCTGATGTAATGCAGAGGCTTGCTGCGTCCCAACAATACCCTCCTTCAGTTTCTTTTGCGGCCTCTAGTAAAGAAGCAGAGTCTTTGTGCGTTTGCCAGCCTTCCAGCCTGGGTCCTATTGTAAAACTGAACAAACCGGTCTGCTTAGGCGATGCACTAACGTATGGTGGAGAACACAAGTCCAAGGACAGGGAGGAGGGAGGGAGAGAAGAAATGGGGAATCTACAGAGGAAAATAGTTTTGGAAGGGAGTGGGGAGTCAGGGAGGGGGAGATGCACAGGACAGGGAGGAAGACAGAGGTGAGGAAAGGAGAGAGAGAGAAACTTCATTGTCTGAGGACACAAACTGGAGTGACTCACTTAATGTTTTCCCTCCTTATCTCCACCCCTTTCCTTCCTAAACACCACACACCTATTCATTGTCATTTCCCATATGAATACTCTCCTGCCACTGCTAATGGTGATTTCACAAAGAATATCTCATCATAGTCTTTGAGCAAGGAAGTTGTGGCTCCAAGAAAGTGTGGCAGGCCATATGCAGCTTTCTCTCTGACGCACGCACACGGCAGCACAGAGGTCGTAGCAACATCTTCCAGTAAAGATTACAGCTGCCAGGATTTCCTCGCTGCTTCCCAGCAGCAGTGGAGTTGCAGCACAAGGTCCTCAACCCTCCCCCTGCAAAAAAATCTCCCTCTCCCTCTGCTTGTTGACTCAGCTCCACTAGTCCTGCTATCAATTTACTACCGCTGTCAAGCCAGGAGGCCCTCGCTTACCGTAAAATACCCCCTCTTCTGGTCGACATGGATGACTGAAAATGGAAAGGACTGGAGAGAGTAAGAGAAAGAGAGAAAAAAAGAGTGGTTTTGATTTATTCTTTAACACAGGTCACCAGTTTCCCATTGGAATAAGCATATAAAGAGTCTTGAACAGGGCAGGGCCCCTACTGAAAACAATCTACCTCAAGAACCTGCACAACTGCACTAAGAATAAACACTGGGGAACACCACAGCTGCCAAAAGAGCTGTGACATTTAGTGATATGTCATCCCTGACTCAACTGACTGAGCAGTCTCAGTCTCAGTCTGCTACCTTGCACGTCTCTCTGTGGAACGGCTTCCTGGTGGCAAGATATGTTCTGTACCTGCCCATCAACCCCACCCTCAGACAGACATTCTCTCCAGCATGCCTGTCATCACAGTTGCTATGGCAACAGAACATTTTCCAGACTTTACATGTTGTCAAACTGGTTTGTGATTTATAATTCACTGTAAATGTAGTATGACGTAAAATCCACCGCATCACGGTGTTTGATTCTGAGAACACTTAAATCACAGTTCCTTGAACTGGTCCTCCTACCTGTTGAATCACATCCATTACTCCATTTAATATCTGTTAAATGATAACTAAGTCTGATTTTATTCACAAAATTAAAGACTTTTATACAAACACAACCTGTTCAGACTTATAGCCAGACTTTGTGCCAGAGTCAGTACAAGGCATTCAGTAGCTCTAAATGAGAGAGACCTTAAACACAAACCATAGTCACTAAATTGCTCCCACTCTTAGGGAAAATAATACTCCCATTACGTGTCCCTTTAGTGGTGGCGGCCCTAAACAAAGGCATGCAATGTTCGGCCCACAGGTAGTTGCTGTTCATTGACGAGCTGTCACTTCAGTCATGGCATGCAGCAGCAGCATACAGGCTTAAGTTTTTGGCAATTTAAGCGTTCAGCCAATAATATTTATTCAATCCCTAGTTGGTGTAGAGCAGTTAGTCTTAAGGTGTGATGTAACAGAACTGAGGTGGTCTGCTGTTTAGTTTAGATAGCATGTAAACCACGCAGTCAAAAGCTATGTATGTGTTTGCAGTGTCTGACATTTCAGTTTATGACCTCTTGTTAAACACACGAGCTGCTGCAGCAACATCTGTTAATAGACACTTAGTGCTAATAGACACCTGATGTTGGTTCAGAAGCAAACAGACACAGGTTTGCATAGTTGACAACCTGCATGAAGAGACAGGCTTTATATGTGAGCGGTAAAATGTACTTGTACAAGCTCAACTGCTTGTTTTAGCTCCTCACTTGAACTGTGTTTAACCACTTCTTCGACCATAATAAATTTGTTTCCTGTTGTCATATACAACCTCTATAGGCCATATACTTTAGGGAGGCAATGCAAAATTACCTCAGGAAGAACTTGGCCAGCAAGTACTCTTTTTCTTTCCTTCTTCCTTGGGAAAGGACATATGGGCTTAGATTTACAGATTTATTTATATGTATTTATTACTACATTTGTGATAATTTCCTTGCAAATGTCTTCACCCCAGAACACTATTCCACAGTGACCCACTGAACTTTGACCTCCTGGGACCTCCCTTTTGTGTGCTTGTTTCCAAAGGAACCAACTCACAAAGAAGGATGGGTGGTTTTTGTCTACCTGTCTGGTTGTGTTTATAGCTCATTCAGTGTCATTGTCACTCGTCATGTCAACCTATTCTCTCTCCTCGGGGGAATGTCACTTTTCATTAGATCATTATCCTCAGCGGCCATACTCTTGGTGGTTTTGGACAGAAACTACTCCACATTTTGATTCCCCCCTGTGGCTTCCTCCTATAGGGTTTGGAGACTAAAGCCCTTATGTTACTCCATTTTCCAGCAAGTCAGGTCATATAAAAGGTATTGCAGAAGTTTGGAGAAAAAAATGAAAGGAAAGATTTATTCATGTTAGTCTAGATGTATTTCCATTGCAGTTTTGTTGCAAAATATTTATGGGAAGAACTGGTTCAAAAAAATGTCTTTTAAAAATGTCTACAGGAACTCCAGATTCACGACAAGCACAATTCCAAGTGTAAACCATGGCTTCAGTATTTATTTAATAATTTCAAACAGACCACACAATATTACAAAATATTAAGTGCTGCATGTCATACAAAACAACTGTGCCTCGTGTAAAAAAGGCCAGTATCAACTTTCAAAAAATTCAGAAAAATAGGTATAAATACAAAACAAATTATGTACAAATACCAGAAAAATAATGCTCATTGAAAGAAAAACTACAAATTCTGAATTCACATTCTCTAATCTACATTGTAAAAACACACACGCAAACACACCTTGACACCAATTTCCCAAGCTGTCAAATACACACGCAAACACACATTTTTCAAGTTTTGTTAGGACAGGACAGTTAGCTTATCTCTGCGGTGTAGAGGGAAAGCCAAAAATAATCATCAGCATGAAATTCAAATTTCCAAATGTCTAGAACGCTTTGAAAAAAAAAAAATTGTCTTTGACATTAAAAGGGTTGCACCAACATGTGAGAAAGCATT